AAAAAATTTTAACAATTTAGACTGTATGAAAGCTGCATTGGTGTGATCCCTGTACCCCATCTTATGCACAATTCTTATCACTCTTTTTTGTAATATATACAATGGTTGAAGTGAGCTTTTGTATGTATTTCCCCAGTTTTCAACGCCATACTCTAAGTATGGTAAAATCAACAGAAGGGTACCTACAATTTTGTCCACGTCTGTATACACTGCAATGACTTCACAACCAAAAAACACCAAAGCATCTTAAAGGATATTTGGTTTGCCCTGAAAGCTTTAAAAACAGACTTCTGGCTTTCAATTAATTAAATGGCACAGTCCATGATTGGTGTATAGCTCTGGAACATATGTGTACAGTTGAACTGATCTGGTTTAGTTACAGCCCTCAGTCTTTTGTGAATAGCAATGACCCAGCATTTGCGTGTAACCAACAGCCCGGCGCCTTTGTGAGAAAGCAGCATAACTCTTAAACTTGACTGCAGGGATCTTTTGTACAGTAAATGTATTTTGCAATGTCTACAGATAAAACGGGGGGGGGGGGGGGGGGGGAGTTTTTAATGAGCCTCGAAGAAAAATAAAAGCCAGAATGTATTTGTCACAGGAGGAGGCTGACACAGAAGACAAATGGCTTGTGAAAACTGATGCTGACCATCATCTTCAAACCAACCCTGTCCACCCCAGTTTCTCCTGCAATTCACATGAGGTCAGTTCAAGCCATCGTGTGCGTATCCTCTCCTAACACGATGCGCTTCATTACAGTGTGGAGAGGTTACTCAATCACATGGACACACTCAAACATCATATTTTCTATTAAATTAGCTTCTGGAAAGCAAGAGTGGCATGATTAGTGCAAAATGTCAGCTTGGATGACAAATTTAAGCCTATTTGTTGCCTGTGAGCAGATTAACATAGAAAATGGACAATTATCTACCATATATTATAGGCAATAATGCATATAATGATCCAATGATCTTTCAGGAAAAAGTGAGAGGTCATATTAAGCATCGACTGCTGGTGATGCTGCTACTGAGGAGAAAGTGGATAACTGGATCCACTAGATGTATCTCTGTGATGCATTGAGGAGAATGGTTCTGAAAGCAGAAAGTGCACACTTCTGTGTCCAGCAGCCACTAAAACTGCTGCACAAGGCTTTGTGTCTTGCTATTTTTGATGAACAAAATAAAAATGCAACAAGGACTGATCTATAAAGCATTCGTCATGCGTCACCAGAATGCTTACCAGAAGAGGAGAGAGGTTAAGTGACCGGTGAGCGTGTTTAATTAGTAGTTTAACAAAAACTTAAAAAGTACAAGCTGTTTTGTCATAGTTGCTGTGTCGTACACATCAATGGTTAGTTTTAGTTAAAAATTCAGTTATGCTCACTGAAAGCAAGATCAGGTAGAGCATTCCAACCAACCATCCAGTTATCTTCTGCAGTCATGCACTTCTATGAAACAAGATTGAGATTTTGATATGGGTTGTTTCAGTCAAACTCAAGTTATGACTGAAATTAACTATTTTGAGAGCGAGAGGAGTTTTAACATCACAGTTTCACAACAGCTTAAAAATGACTGTTTTACTCACTTGTAAGTCAACCCATCTCCTTCAGAGCATAGCTCTTCTGCCGTATGACTGTCGGAGATAACGTACTGTTGGTCAGATCTGCTGGTTCAAAATGTGTTGGCCATTACAAAGCACTGGCGTGTACACTGCACCCGCTATTGCGCGCAGGTGATGTTTTAAAAGCAGGAGACCTTACTTTGCATGATTTCATCATTTACTAAGATTTTCACTAAAACAAAGCCTCGGGTACAGGAAAAACTTACTTGTATGTAAGGCCATCTCCGATTGAGAAGAGCTGCTGAGCTGAGAGTCCATCTTCAGGAACGTAGCCTGTACCTCCACTGATTAAGTAATCTGCCATGCTGCCAAACAATAAGGGGAAGCAAGTTCAGATGTGCAGGTCAAGAATCAGATGAACACGCTTATCTGCCGATGGTATAATGACGCTCTGCAAGAACACCAGCCATCCACTTTGCAGCAGGAGCTTCAGTGACCTTCTCACAGGAACCCCCCCCCCCCCCCCCCAGCCAGCCAGGTCAGTGAGCCTGATGCTACTGCTGCTCCTGCTTGCAAAAACAAACCCCTTGTAATTCTGGAATAAACAACCCTGCTGCACAGTTTTTCCAGCTATTAAAGGACATTACTGGAGATTAAAAATAGCACCAATTACAATAAGATCAGCCAAACAGACTACTCATAATCGAGTACCATAAACGCTTATGCATGACCATAGAAATCCCAGCGTGATTTTGTGCAGATAGGGAGACAGAGCAATTTCTCATTTTACAAACATATTAGGAACATTAAGAATAACCAGGTCAAACAGGATGGTGTCCACACGACCGCCTGTGAAGCTTAATATGGCCGGGTGACCCACTAACACTTAGCTGAACCACTACCTATACAGTAGCTAGTAGTACATGCTTTCGGTATTATATCGTGAATACCAAGGTAAACGCCACAATGAAACGCGGTCCTACTGTAATGGAACAACATCCAGTAGCTGTGTTGGGTGGTAACATTTACTAGCCCAGAGACCTACGTTGCATTATCAGCAGCTTGCAAACATCATATTATCCATGTTAGCCCCTCATCTCTCACAAGTCAGAACTCCACGCCTGGCTAACCGCTGTTTCAGAAACCAAAATATTAACCTAAATGCTTTTAAGGGAGTAACATTAACTCGGGAACAACACGTGTACTAATTGTACAAGTTTAAATTTAGCTACAGTAAAACATGTTTCGAGGGTTTAATGCGTGCGGAACTGACTAGTGGCTCATTGTGTATAGTAAATCGTCTAAATCTTTTTTCTACGCTTTACAAAGCCTTTCTAAGAAGAGAGGCGACACTATTTTGGTGGAGTTTTGAAGGGAGTTTGGTTTTGCCTTCAACGTTGTGTCAGATATTCTGTCAAAAGCACGCGTGTTCAGGTAGATGGGAACATGGAGACGTGGTGTAACTAACGTTACTGTTAGCTACATGATGAAGCTAAAATGACCAAATTTAGGACACTCCATTTAAATATTTATCAAAAGAAAACAAGCAAGCTATATCCCTTTAAGAATATCATAAAACTGGTGTTAATAATCCACCATTGTCATTCAACTTCACTTTTGGCATGCGAGACATGAGCTGCGTTTGCAGACATGTGGGAGCCGTTAGCATTTAGCATGAGCAATTTGGTTGATTTAGGTTAACCTACAGAAAAGGCTCTTGAGATTTTAGAGGAAGATTTTCCACCCTTAAAAAGGCAATCAAGCGTTTTAAAACTACGTAGCTTTTTTTGCAAGTCTATAAACGAACCAACATCATTTCATACACCGAGTAACAGCAGCTAGCCGCCTTATGGAGCTGATGCCCACGTTGACCAAAAGAAAGCAACTTTCCAGCTGTGAACCTACAGTAATCAGGCTGAACACGAGGGTAAATGCAACCATTTGATTTACCTGGAAGAACAGACTGGATGTGCACACAGGACGTTAGCTGCTCCAAGATATGAAAGTACTGCTCCTCAGTAAAGTGAAATGAAAAACGACAGCCTGAAGCTGCAGCCAGTGCGGGTCGGTATTATGTACCAGCACCACCAGTAGCGTCACATCCTCTCACCCATCAGAGACCAGTTTAACCCTCTGCCTCATGTGAGACAACTAGTGGAATGGAACGAGTTAAGTGATCAGCAGTGGTGGTTTACATGAAAGCTGTATTACTTTTACTAAAATATCGGTTTGCCAGAGCCACCAGTGTTCTGTATTTTCACTTTCAATGTTTTCGGGAAAGTGGTTTTTAAAGCTTTGGACGGTGGTGGTAAATTACAATGTACATTTACTCATGTGCTGTTCTTATCTACAAATTGAAAGTACTTGAGTCACTCTTCCACTACATTCAGTTACATATAAACCCTATCATTATCACATACAGTGCTGCACACTGTCATAGACTAGACTTTATGCACCCACCTGCAGCAACAAATACAAATGCTGACTGTAATGGAGAACTTTTACATTGTGTGTGTTTTTAACTTTACTAAAGAGAAGGAGTATGGTCTTTTTTCCATTCTGCTTTGGCAGGTCAGTTTTTTCAATTTAGTCACTGAGTGTGTGGGTGGAGGTTGGTTTTCATTCTCAGAATCAGTTTAATTGACCAGGTGTGTTGGACACATGAGGAATTTGACTATAATACAGTGGCTCTCAATGTGTGTGTACCATGTTCTTCCATAAGGCAACAAGTAGATAAGTAAACAAGATAAATCTGAGAGAAAAGAAAATGAATAAATTACCTAAAAATATGGAAATATCAGTGACGTGCGGTCAGGGGAGGCAGGTGAGGCAGAGCCTCCCCTGTCAATCTTGAAAAGAAAAAAAAGTTAACCATAAAATATAATAAATGTTAATATTTGTCAGCTGGTGTGTGTTGTAGGCCCTTTTGCCGTTCGACTCCGATGTTGAAGGAATTTTTTTCCATAAAGAATATCAGAATTTCCGTATGTCCCGTTCAAATACATGGAGGAGATGCGCGATGAGGCAGCACTTTGCTGTGCCTCTTGGTGGATCGTGTAATCCTCACAAACTGTATGCGATGCAAATAGTGTGTCGCTGTCCCTCTATATATCACAAATAAAATGCTTTCAAACACTCTGATTATATGCTCTGCCTTGCCATAATCTGGATAATGTATAAAATGTAGTTCTGTAACGTGTTTAGGCTCCAGATTAACCATAAAACCCAGTAAAAAAGTTACTCGGTGAGGCAAACAGTA